TAGCCCATACCGTCCCAACACCTTAGCCCATACCGTCCCAACACCTTCGCCCTTACCGTTCCAATACCTTAGCCCATACCGTCCCAACACCTTCGCCCTTACCGTCCCAACACCTTAGCCCATACCTCCCAACACCATAGCCCATACCGTCCCAACACCTTAGCCCATACCGTCCCAACACCTTAGCCCATACCGTCCCAACACCTTAGCCCATACCGTCCCAACACCTTAGCCCATACCGTCCCAACACCTTAGCCCATACCGTCCCAACACCTTCGCCCTTACCGTCCCAACACCTTAGCCCATACCTCCCAACACCATAGCCCATACCGTCCCAACACCTTAGCCCATACTGTCCCAACACTTTAGCCCATACTGTCCCAACACCTTAGCCCATACCATCCCAACACCTTAGCCCATACCGTCCCAACACCTTAGCCCATACCGTCCCAACAATCCTACTGTTAGGACCGATGATTATTGTAAACGAAAGGGTAAATTTTTTGTTGTTGTTTTTATAAAATCCCTTTTCTTATTTCGCCACCACTCGCCACCCCAACTCCGCTTCTTCAAACCAGCATACCCGAATACCCGAGCGGTAACACCGTGTCATCGACTCAGGTGAGCTTGAGACAGTCGATGAACGAAACTAAAGGAAGAGTCACATGTGTAAACGGTAACACTAAGATGAAATGCGAATATGGTAGAATGAGAAAGTCTTTAATTTAAATACAGCATTCAAACATCGTGTGAGGAACGCTTTACGTGCCGGTGTCAGGTTAAAATGAACAGGGAGATTGAACAACGTTTGCCTTGACTTGGAGTTGAACTCAGTCTACGCGCGATCTCGTGGAATTTACATTCTTGCACAGTACTGGTAGTACTAGTAATACAACCAACCTTAAAGATGACCACATTTCCGAATCTCATATGTACCGGGCGGACCACAATTGCACATTAATTTATTTTTTTTAACTTATTCAGTACCAGGTAACAAGTTTTTATTCCCTGCAACTCCAACACAAGTTTCAGAACAAATTTCATTCATCTCTCATAGATTTTCGTACAAAGAAATTGAAAACGTGTACGTCTATCAAACAAATGAGTCTTATGATAAGTATGAAAGCTGTAGCATACCGGTATGTTTTTATCTGTGGTCTGAGGTCGACAGGGTGGTTGGGGGGGGGGGGAGGGGAACGCACATCGAAAATGATTAAATTGCGTGTTATAAGCACCCCAGACGTGGACCACCTGAAAGAATAGGTCCAAGGACCACCGTTCGAGACCGTGGTTATATTCAAAAGCTGTAGCATACCGGTATGTTTTTATCTGTGGTCTGAGGTCGACAGGGTGGTTGGGGGGGGGGGAGGTGAACGCACATCGAAAATGATTAAATTGCGTGTTATAAGCACCCCAGACGTGGACCACCTGAAAGAATAGGTCCAAGGACCACCGTTCGAGACAGTGGTTATATTCAATACATCTTATCACAGCCGTAGCTATAAATATTATTTTAATTAAATTATGTAGGATCTGACGTGGTACATGGTGCTGAGACAAACCGTGCACTGGGTAATTATATATTAGATACTTCACTTGCATTCATCTGGGTCTAATTAAAATCTGAAATAACAGTGCTGAAAAACTCAACATTACTTTGATCATCTGAAAGAACGGACCATGGTTCGTGGCGGCAACAAAAAGAAAGCCAAAACACACAGTAATTATTTGGTGATTACCAATGTTTACCCTAGCGTCATTGTAACTTCAAATTGATGCAATTAGTAGCCAGAAAACTTAATTAACGAATCACATTCCTAAATGTTTCAATCGATCAATATCAACCAACCAATAGAATATACTTCTAAATCATCATAACCAAACGAAATACAATTATTCCAGTATAATTAACTTAGTTTCTTGAAATTGTTTTTATATTTTAGATCGATATTTTAAGACTCCATCAATATAAAAGAAGTATATTGAAAACAGTGCTTAAAAAACTCATCCTGTCCATTGCCATCGAAGCTGGCAGATATTACTTTTTATACAAATATATAATAATATATATATATATATTATTTTAAAGAACTACTGAAACTACTGCTGAGCCAGTCGCGAATCATACCAGTGATAGCAGTTCCTGCCCTCTAACGTCAACAAAAAAAATATTTAAAAATATATATATATATATATATTTAATAAATGTGTATTTCAATCAGTTGAAAAGCAAAGTCAGACATTCATTTGAGCTATGTATGATTTTTCGATGGCCTATAGATTTTGTCAATAAATACACACTTTTTAAAACACTATATCAATCAGAAGTCAATTCTACTTTTCACCATCCTATTTGCGGCCGTGGTGAACACATCATGAATACAACTGAAGGATATTATTTTATTTCCGACAATGTTTTGATGGAATATCGCATGGTCACCGCGGCCATCACGCCAGCAATTGTCGTCTTCGGCATTTCCAGCAATCTTCTCAATGTGCTCGCCTTCATCAAAATGGGCCTCGCTGACAGCATCTCCATATCTTTCCTGGCCCTGTCTCTGTCAGATCTCTGCCACCTACTCATTTCATTGGTTTTAGTCATCTGCATCGCACTGCTCAGTTTTAAAAATTTGATCATGGGAGCTGACCCTCTGAACGTGTACTTCATCCTGTATTGGTACTCTTACATGTTTTACGACGCCTCGACTTTCATCACCACCTACATAGCCATAGCCAGGTGCTGCTGTGTGGCAATGCCACTGCGCTTCAAAAATGTCTTCACTCAGTTCCGGACATCGGTCGCCTTGTTTGCTTTATTGCTCACGGGGATCGCCCTGCGTCTCCCGATGGTTATGTTCAATCAGTTGGTTTGGCTTGTCAGCCCGGTGACCAATTCGTCGGTGCTAGTCCTCAGAACTACTGGCGACATGACATTTGCCAACGTCTTCAATGATACCGTCAATCGCAACGCCATTCCCTGGCTGTGCTTCGTTGTTGTGGCCGTCTGCATGGTTATTTTGGGCGCTAAACTCCACAGGGCATCGAAATTTCGCCAGAATGCAATAACGGTTTCAAAAGATCTTCAAAATGGTAGAGCAGGGGAAACAGCCAAACCAGTGTTTTCTTTATCAGCTAAAGATATAAAAGTAATACAGTCGGTTGCCCTAGTTTCCGCCATGTTTATCACCTTTAACCTGCCCTTTATTCTATACTCTCTCACCCGAATAGTGTATCCTCCGTTTTCAACCGAGGGCCCCTACTCGAGGCTGTTTAGTGTGGTGGCCACACTCAGCCAAACTTGGGGGTTTCTTGGTGTCTCGGTCAACTCGTTTATTTACTACAAATACAATTCAAGATATAAACAAGTTGTGCAGTCCTATCTGGGGCTTGTTTATACCAAGATCATATAGTTTTGTTTGGTCATTTAGAACATACTATTGGCGTGTTTGATTTGTTAACTTTTAAGAGGGGATTTCGATTTTTTAAATTACAAAATAATAAAATAAGGACGTGAAGTATTTTTTACATTTGTTTTCCTATTGAACCTGAACAGTGAGAATAGTAAACGCTTCCAATCTACGATGAAATGTTCGGCATCGCAACATTGACTTTGCTCATCTGTTAGGTTTAAAAAGTATGAATACATTAAGAAGCTGTTATTTCTTTTCAGAATAACCGAGGTACCGTTGGTAAACAATGACCTCACTAATAACTTCCTAATGATTATGATAAAATGTAAGAAACCCTAAGAGTGCAGATTTCGTTTTAAATAATCCCAGTAGGCGGCATACTAGTATTTTTAGATTCGGCAATAAAAACCCGCTAACAAAAGTTGACTGACCCTCTGGTGTTCATTGTTACGTCCAAAGAGGTGTTGTTGTTTTTTTTTGTTTTTTTTTTAAAGCAAAAAAAAATGTCCATGGGTTTCATAAATAATATGTTTCACCCAAATGCAAGTAGGAAATGACACAATGCCTTCATCGGAATATGGTGGGTGGCAGGTCTATCACGGACGACTTTTAAAAAAAGAGAGAAAGAGAGAGAGAGAAAGGATCTCTGAACTAAACTTACAAGTGAATCTAGAGATCATGGCAAAATCCCATCCCTAGTCACTAATTGTGTCTCAGTCACTGCGTCAAAGCAAGGCTTGGATCTTGTTGTTGGTGTGAGTTACAGAGACAGCAACACGTTCAGGCTTGGACGCATCACGCCACCATTTTAAGTGCGTCAACACGATACTGCGTCATCATTTTTGAAGTACTGTTAAAGTGTATTCCAATCCTTTACTGAGAACTCTGTGACAAGCCCAAGATTGGGCAGGGTCTCAGCTGGCCCAAAAGACATGGGTTTACTAAGATCTCTGTGACAAGCCCAAGATTGTGCAGGGTCTCAGCTTGCCCAAAAGACACGCCTTAACTGATGCCTCTGTTACAAGTCCCAGACTAGAAAAAGTTTCAGCTTGCTCAAAGGCATGGCTTTACTACGACTTAAAGCTCTGTGACAGGTCCAAGACTGGGTTGGGTCTTAATCTCGCCCTAAACAATTCCAAGACTGGATAGGATCTCTGCTTGCCCCAAAAAAATTGACTTTTGATGACGTAAGATACAAGCTAAATTGTTCAAACTTAACACCATTTCAATAGCTTTGAATTATTGTTTAAGTAGCTGTTCTAGGCATTCAACATCCTAGACCGAGTCTGCGAATGATATGTTTGAGTGGTCAGTGCCAATTGTTCTGTTTGTGAATATAAAGCACACCGTTAATATTGAAAATGTAGAGTGATCAGTGACGTCATTAGTGTCACAGAGACACTATGTTTTTTTTTGTTCTTTCATGATCGATAATTTCTACTCCAGTTTTTGTGGTTTCCGTTGATTGGCATTGAATGGAAAGCAGGGAGTCTAAAATTGTTGTACCCTGCTCTTGACCCGTTTGTTGTTATTTTAATGAACCCTCGCATCATACTTGCAACTCGCTGCGCAGGTGTCAGTCAAGGCTTGGACAGTTCCACCAATGTCGTCCTATAGAAAATTTCAACCTATAGAAAATGTCATCCTGTACAAAATGTCATCCAATAGAAAATTTCGTCCCATAGAAAAAGTAGTTCTATAGAAAATGTCGTCCATATAAAATGTCCTTTAGAAAATGTCGTGTCAATAGAAAATATTCAGTACTTTCAGCATTAGTAGTACTACCAAACTTTTTTTTTACACAAGAGGACCACATTTTCAAATCTCATATGCCGGGCCGACCACAAATGTGCATTAAACTTTCTTCTAAATAAAGTAATTCAGTGCCGGCAGCATTCTTCTTCTTATGCCTTTGTACCCCGTCTGGGGCATTGGCCGTTCACAAGAATTTTGCATTCATCGCGGTACTGTGCTTTCCTTTCCAGTAACTTTAATCTGTATCCCATACTATGCGAGTCTGCCTCTAGCTCGCGTCTCCATGTATTCTTTGGCCTTCCTCTCTTTCTTTTTCCCTGTGGATTCCATGTTAGGCATTGTCTGATGATGCTGTCAGTGGTTTTCGGAGATTATGCCCTAACCACCTCCATCTTTTCTTATAATGTCTTCATAAATGGGCACCTGGTAATTCCTTTCTAGTAGATCTTTGTTGGTGATGGTATTTGGCCATTTGATATTCAGGATCTTTCTAAGGCATGTTTTTCGAAGGTCTGTACTTTCTGCGATATGCTCGCTGTTTTTTTTCAAGTTTCTGCTCTCATAGTAGTACTTAGGACTGCTTTGACATTTGTGTTAAATATTCTGACTTTGGTTTGGAGCTTCAGCTCCTTCGACTCCCATATTTTCTTTAATTGCAAAAAAGCTGATTAGCATTTCCAATTCTAGCCCTTACGTCCGCGTCGGATCCGCCATTTGTGTCGAAGGTGCAGCCTAAGTATGGGAAGGACTCCACTTCTTCTAGAGCCTTTCCTGCCGGAGAGATGGATGCTCTTAGTTGGCTGAGCTTACCTTCGTGATCTTTTTCTTGCTTTTATTTATATTCAGTCCGAACTGTGCTGAAATGGTCGCTACGTATTTTGTCTTTACTTCATTTGTTGCTGGTTGTGGGACAGAATGACAATGTCGTCTGCAAAGTCTAGGTATCCTGTTCCTCTTTTCATCTATGGATTTTTTCATTATCCAGTCAATGACGAGGATGAATAGGGAGAGGGACAAGAGACATCCTTGTCTGATTCCTCTTTCCACCTTAAAGTCATCTGTGAGTCTACCTTCGTGTACCACCCTGAGTGTCATTTCTTCATAAGAACTCCGAATGAGAACTTCCCGGTAGCATTAGTAGTTCCCAACTTTTTTTTTTTTTTTTCACACAAGAGGACCACATTTCCTAATCTCACATGCCGGGCGGACCACAACTGCACATTAAAGTTTCTTCTAGTTATTGAGTATCTGAAGCACACGTTTTGATTCACTTCAACTTCAACATAACAAGCTAACACGTCTCGGGCTGAGTTTTATTTGTCTCTCATAGATTTTAAAAGCATGTGTACGTTTATCTTCCCCTCCAAACAGATGAGTCACGTGATGAGAAATATGAAAGGTGTAGCATAGCGGTGTCTTTTAAGCTGTGCTCAGAGGTCGATGGGGTGGTGAGGGGGGGGGATATATTGAATAGGATTAAAAATAAATTTTATATAAAAGCAAAACAGTCGTGAACCACCTGAAAGAATAGATCCATGGACCACAGTTCGAGATACTGCATTCTGTTCAATACATCTTACCCCAGCCGTAGCTATAAAGGTAATTGTAATGACACTATTTAGGATCTGGCGTGGTAAAAGCTGAGACAATTATATATAAGATACTGTACTTGCAGTCATCTCTGTATCTAATTAGAATCTGAACTAAGATTGCTGGAGAACTCACCATTAGTACGTTCATCTGATGCAACGGATCACTGTTCGTGATGGTTACAAAAAGAGAGCCAGAAAAAAGACAATAGTTATTGGTGATTGGTGATGTTAACTCTAGCGTGATAGTTGGCTTCAAATTGATGCAATTAGTAGGCGCAACAGTTAGTTAACTAATCACAATCCTATATGCAACTTTCATTCAATATCAACCAAGCATAAACATGTAATGTAATTAGTAACTACAAATTGATTCAATTAGTAGCTGCAACAGTTAGTTAACCGATTGCAGACCTAAATGTAACTTTTAATCAGTATCAACTAACCAATAGAATGTAATTGCTAATTTCAAATTGATGAAATTAGTAGCCATAACACTTAACCAATCACAGGCCTAAATGTAACCCCGTGCCAATATCAACCAATAAGAAAATATAATTGTCAACAAGCATAACCAAGTGAAAGATAATTATTCCAGGATTATTAACTTAATTTGTTGGAACTGTCTTGTCTTTGTATTTTAAATCGATGTTCTCAGGTTCGCCCCAAATAAGAAAGAAGAAAAGAATATTGAAAATCGTGCCATCAAAGCCAGGCTCGTTTATCGTTACTCTTTATACAATTATAGATATATATTATACGTTGTTTTTTTGATAAAGAACTACTGAAACTTATACTGAACCAGTAGCGAAACATACCAGTGATACCAGTGCGAGTTGATGCCCTCTAACATCAAGAAATATATATAATTGTTAAAAATAAACGTGTTTTTAAAACAGTAAATAGCAAAGTCAGACATGCATTTGAGATATGTATGATTTTTTGATAGCCTCTAGATTTTGTGAATAAATACACACTGTTTAAAATACTATATCAATCAGAAGTCAATTCTACTTTTCACCATCCTATTGACGGCCGTGGTGAACACATCATGAATACAACTGAAGGATATTATTTTATTTCCGACAATGTTTTGATGGAATATCGCATGGTCACCGCGGCCATCACGACAGCAATTGTCGTCTTCGGCATTTCCAGCAATCTTCTCAATGTGCTCGCCTTCATCAAAATGGGCCTCGCTGACAGCATCTCCATATCTTTCCTGGCCCTGTCTCTGTCAGATCTCTGCCACCTGCTGCTCTCATTGGTTGTAGTCATCTGTATTGCACTGCTCAGTTTTAAAAATTTGATCCTGGGAGCTGACCCTCTGAACGTGTACTTCATCATGTATTGGTACTCGTACATGTTTTACGACGCCTCGACTTTCATCACCACCTACATAGCCATAGCCAGGTGCTGCTGTGTGGCAATGCCACTGCGCTTCAAAAACGTCTTTACTCAGCTCCCGACATCGGTTGCCTTGTTCGCTTTATTGCTCATGGGGATCGCCCTGCGTCTCCCGATGGTTATGTTCAAGCAGTTGGTTTGGGTTGTCAGTCCGGTGACCAATTCGTCGGTGTTAGTCCTGAGAACTACTGGCGACATGACATTTGCCAACGTCTTCAACGATACCGTCAATCGCAACGCCATTCCCTGGCTGTGCTTCGTTGTTGTAGCCGTCTGCATGGTTATTTTGGGCGCTAAACTCTACAGGGCATCGAAATTTCGCCAGAATGCCATAACGGTTTCAAAATATCTAAATGTTAGAGACCATCGTTTTCTTTATCAGCTAAAGATATAAAAGTAATAGAGTCGGTTGCCCTAGTTTCCGCCATGTTTATCACCTTTAATCTGCCCTTTATTCTATACTCTCTCACCCGAATAGTTTATCTCCCTTTTTCATCAGAGGGCCCCTACTCGAGGTTGTTTAGTGTAGTGGTCACACTGAGCCAAGCCTGGGGATATCTCGGTGTCTCGGTCAACTCGTTTATTTACTACAAATACAATTCAAAATATAAACAAGTTGTACAGTCCTATCTGGGGATGGTCTATACCAAGATATAACAGTATTGTTTGGTCATTTAAAACAGGGGATTTTCTATACCAATATATAATTGTATTGTTTGGTGATTTAGAACAGGAGTTTGTCTATACCAAGATATAATAAATTCTTTATGGTTTTATGAACAGAGTTTTTCTATACAAAGATATAATAAATTGTTTATGGTCATTTAGAACAGGAGTTTGTCTTTACCAAGATGTAATAAATTGTTTATGGTAATTTAGAACACACTCTTTGCGTGTTTGATTTATTTAATTTTAAGAGGTCATTTTGAATTGAAATACAAAATATTAAAATAAGGTGTACATTTCGTTTTACCCAAATCTCAGAAGGCGCAGACTATTATTTCTAGATCCGGCCATAAGAAAATTCGCCAACAAACAAGTCACTAGAACAAGAGATAGAAACTCTGAACAAAGACTTGAAGAGTCCATCGAGCCTATGCTGTGCATAATTACGTTCAAAGCGTTCAAGCAACTGAAAAGAACTATCGGAATGTTAAGCAGCCTTTACCCCTAATATACAATATATAATATAATATGTTCGTAAATGACGAATTTGTCGACGTGCAGTTCCTGACTGAGACTTGGTTGAGGTCAACAGGGGATGATGCCAAGTGCGCCGACCTCACGCCACCGAGTTACGATATTAAGTCCTTTCCGCGAGGTGGCGGCCTGGCTGGCATTTATCGCAGCCTCCTCCCGGTGACTTTCACCTCCACTTTCCCATTCCAGCACACCTCTCTAGATCTTGTTCAGTTCACCTTCAACACGCCCCACACCGTCTTCTTGGCAACGGCAAGAATTCCACCCTCCCTACCGACATTGCACCAGAGCAACTCCCTGATGCCTTTGCGGACCTTTTCATCACCAGGGTGCAAAAGATCAGGGAGGATCTAGACAGTGCGACCCTACACCTTCCTCACCGTTCTCGGGGGACGTTAGTCAGACAGAATCATGTTGATATATTCTTGCCTGTGACTGAGGATCAGGTGAGGCGAGTCATCATCAGGTCTGCTCCCAAGTCTTGCGCCCTCGATCCGATCCCCGTCCCACTGCTTGTAGAATGTCTTGACGTCCTCCTCCCAGCACTCACCTCCATCATAAATTCTTCTATTCTCTCTGGCATCTTCCCTCCACTTTTTAAACGGTGGATAGTCCTGCCACTCCTGCCTCACTTGATCCAAACACACTCAAGAATTACCGGCCCGTCAATAACCCCTCCTTTCTCTCAAAATCATAGAAAAACGCATACTCTCTCAGCTCTCTGACTATCTTCACTCTCGCAAACTCTATCCTTCCTCCCAGTCCGCCTACCGACTTGGTTAAAGCACAGAAACAGCACTGGTCCGAGTCATGAGCGACCTCCTGCGCGCGATGGACGGTGGCAAACTCTCTATTCTCACTCTGTTAAATCTCTCTGGTGCATTTGATACCATTGACCACCAAATTCTTCTTGACCGTCTTCATCTTTCTTTCGGACTTACTGGCTCAGCTTTAAACTGGTTTCAATCTTATCTTTCTGACAGAACTCAAACAGTCTCTACATCCAATCGCTCTTCCAAACCTTCAGCCCTGTCTATTGGAGTTCCTCAAGGATCAGTCCTTGGGCCGGTCCTTTTCATCTCCTACACTAAACCTATATCATCTCTCGTTAGCCAACACTCAGTTTCCAGTCAATCCTTTGCTGATGACAGTCAAATCAGTGACTCTTACTTTCCTGATCAACTTGATGCCACAATCCTTCGCATACAGGAGTGCGTGGACGACGTAAAGCGTTGGATGACTTGCAACAAACTGAAGCTAAATGATGATAAAACGGAAATTCTTCTCATCCACTCTCAAAACAAACCTCTCCCTCAATCCGCTCCTTCTTCTATATCTATCGGCAACTCTGACATCACACTCTCTCCCTCTGCCAGAAACCTTGGAGTCCCGCTTACAGACACCCTCTCCATGGACAAACATGTCACGAATATATGCAGATCAGCATATAACGAAATTAGAAAAATCAGCACTATTAGACACCTCCTCTCCTTTGATGCCACAAAAACTATCGTCTCTTCACTCATTCTTTCAAAATTTGACTACTGTAACACTCTTCTCGCAGGCATTCCTCAACACCACATAGACAAACTTCAGAAGGTTGAGAACTCAGCATGCAGACTCATTTTTAAATCAAAGAAACACGACCACATTCAACCACACATGAGGCAACTCCACTGGCTTCCAATATCCTCTCGCATCAAGTACAAGTCTGCCAATCCATACTTCAACTCGTTCACTGACCCTCACTTTCCTGTCTATCTCTCGGAACTGTTGCTTCCTTACATCCCCACAAGACATCTATGCTCTTCAATTGACAATAGAACCCTCTTAATCCCAAGAACCAAAACTAAGACCATCGGTGAACGCTCCTTCTACTTCCATGCGCCCACGTTCTGGAACCAGCTTCTCTTTCACATCCATCATTGTGAAACCTCGTCCACTTTAAAAAAGTCCCTTAAAACCCATTTGTTTAGGTCCGCCTATGACCTGTGATGCACCCTCCTTGCCCTGCCTCATTTTCTGTCTCGGGTTGATCCTGTAGTATAGGCCAAAACGTGCCAAAGTGTACTCGGTGTATAGCCATTTTAATTGTTTCTATAGTATAGTAGTTACTATCCTAGTGTCTCTGGTTTTTCATTTTTATTTTACTTAGTTTACATGTTTTTAATCATTGTAAAGCGCTTAGAGCTTTAAGGTAAGCGCTATATAAAAATGCCTAAATAAATAAATAAATAAATTACGAGAACCATTGCAAAAATTTCTCTCAGTAAAGAAGTCACCGCTGGCAGCACATTTCAGTGACAAGGTATGTCCCTTCAAAACTGGCTTACCTGTGTGACATATTCAGCCTGCTCAGTGAACTCAGTCTATCCCTTCAAAACTTGCTTACCTGTGTGAAATATTCAGCCTGCTCAATGAACTCAGTCTGCCCTTTCAAAACTGGCTTACCTGTTTGACATATTCAGCCTTCTCAGTGAACTCAGTCTGTCCCTTTAAAACTGGCTTACCTGTGTGAAATATTCAGCCTGCTCAATGAACTCAGTCTGCCCCTTCAAAACTGGCTTACCTGTGTGACATATTCAGCCTGCTCAATGAACTCAGTCTGTCCCTCCAAAACTGGCTTACCTGTGTGACATATTCAGCCTGCTCAATGAACTCAGTCTGCCCCTTCAAAACTTGCTTAACTGTGTGACATATTCAGCCTGCTCAATGAACTCAGTCTGTCCCTCCAAAACTGGCTTAACTGTGTGACATATTCAGCCTGCTCAATGAACTCAGTCTGTCCCTCCAAAACTGCCTTACCTGTGTGACACATTCAGCCTGCTCAGTGAACTCAACCTGTCCCTTCAAAACTGGCTTACCTGTGTGACACATTCAGCCTGCTCAATGAACTCAATCTGTGCATTCAGGGGGTAATGGCAACTTTTTTCAAGTTGGCAGACAAAGTAGCTGCATTTAAAGTCAAACTGGAGTTGTGGGGACGGCGAGTGAATAGAGGCATTTCGGAAATGTTTCAAACTTTAGCGGGAATTTTAGGCGAGACTGAGCCTGAACATTCAATCTCCTATTTCTGCTTTAAAAAGAGTTCGAGCGCTACTTCCCAGCAACAAAAGACCCACGAACTGGTAAAGGAATGGATCCGCGACCCATTTTTCAACAAACCAGGCGAATCTAGCATGTCTGTGCAAGAAGAAAATCAACTGCTGGAGATTCCAAATGACGGCAGACTTAAAACTACGTTCCATACAACAACTCTTTCGGTGTTCTGGATTTACGTCATGGCGGAATACCCTGAGATTGCCACCACAGCACTTAAATCCCTATTGCCATTTTATGCATCCTATCTGTGTGAAGCGAGGTTTTCAGCGCTGACAGCAACCAAAACAAAACAAATGAATAAACTGGACATAAGCAACACACTTCAGGTGTCATTGTCTCCTAATGTCTCGTTGCAGAGAAACAAGCACATGGTTCTCACGGATTTAGCGTTCTAGTGAATGTTAAATCCTTTTATATTCATTCTTTGGTGTATCTGTATTTATTTTGAAGGCACGTTTAAATACAATTAAATTAAAATAATTAAATAAACGATTTCTAAAATATAAACAATCAATGCCCCCCCCCCACAACTCAGGGAGTCGCGGTAAAATTATCAAACGTTGACCGGTTCGTGGTGATCAAAAGGTTGGGGACCACTGCCTTAGACAACTGTGATCAAAAGGTTGGGGACCACTGCCGTAGACAACTGTGATCAAAAGGTTGGGGACCACTGCCGTAGACAACTGTGATCAAAAGGTTGGGGACCACTGCCGTAGACAACTGCGATCAAAAGGTTGGGGACCACTGCCTTAGACAACTGTGATCAAAAAGTTGGGGACCACTGCCTTAGACAACTGTGATCAAAAGGTTGGGGACCACTGCCTTAGACAACTGTGATCAAAAGGATGGGGACCACTGCCTTAGACAACTGTGATCAAAAGGTTGGGGACCACTGCCTTAGACAACTGTGATCAAAAGGTTGGGGACCACTGCCTTAGACAACTGTGATCAAAAGGTTGGGGACCACTGCCTTAGACAACTGTGATCAAAAGGTTGGGGACCACTGCCTTAGACAACTGTGATCAAAAGGTTGGGGACCACTGCCTTAGACAACTGTGATCAAAAGGTTGGGGACCACTGCCTTAGACAACTGTGATCAAAAGGTTGGGGACCACTGCCTTAGACAACTGTGATCAAAAGGTTGGGGACCACTGCCTTAGACAACTGTGATCAAAAGGTTGGGGACCACTGCCTTAGACAACTGTGATCAAAAGGTTGGGGACCACTGCCTTAGACAACTGTGATCAAAAGGTTGGGGACCACTGCCTTAGACAACTGTGATCAAAAGGTTGGGGACCACTGCCTTA